GCTTGCTTGCTTGCTTGCTTGCTTTACATTGCTCACACACCTGCTCGCTTGCGGGCTTACTTGTTTACCTATTTACCGACTTGCTTGCTTACTTACATCGCCATACACACGTACACATACGCGCCTACAGAGAAACATACGTACATACACACATGCGTACATGCATGCATGCATACTTGCTTATGTAAACAAACACCCGTGCATGCCTGCGGGCTTGCATACAAGCATAAACTCACATCCATGCATGCACTGCAACACTAGTAGTGCAGCACAATGTGGGAGCTGATATTTTACAATCAACGAATACAACAACAGCAATACTCTTCATGAAAGCAAGAAGCTGCCATGGCTACCCTTGTTCTATCATGGACCGGCACCTGATGCTTCGAGGACTCGATCTTGGTGTTCTAGGCCACGTGGCTGTTGCAGGATTCTTATGCGTCGTTAAAGGCGTAAGGTTTCCTTCGGTGCTTCGGGACTACGGTGCTTTGGGGTTTTGGGGTACGCGTGCATTTGCCCAGATAGCTAGATTCTAGGTGGATAGATAAGTAAGTAGGAGGACAGATCGACGTACAGACAGATACATAGATCTATCCATCTGTCCATGTATCTGTCTATCTACCCATCAATCAATCAACCCATCTATCCAACGACCGATCGATCCATCGGTCTATCGATCTTTCGACCTATCTATCCCTCTCGCATGTGCGCACATAGGTAAGTTGACCTTGCTTCGACGTCCTCGCAGCTTGCGACCATGGTCTTTGTGATCTGAGCTTTCCTTGTAGGATTTCCGACTCAGGGTTTTGGGGTTCTGGGGTTCAGGGTTTGCGGTTTATGATCTCAGCTTTCCTTGCTGGAGGAAAGCAGCTGAGCGTCTACGAGAGTGGCCTTAAACGTTACCCTATACCCTAAACCCTAAACTTAGACTGGAAGTCCGGATGTCTTAGGAAATGGAAGAGGGTTTCGGGGCCATATTGAAACAGAGTTAGAAGGACACTTTTTAGGGAATATCATTGCGACTCTTTTCGTTTCTTGTGTGGGATGGTCTTTCTTAACCCTAAACCCTAAACCCTAAACCCTAAACCCTACTTATACTAGACCTACTAAACGGAACCCTAATAGGCAGACTTCTGGGTAGCTCCGACCCCACCCCCTAAACCCTAAACCCTAAACCCTAAACCCTAAACCCCCATTATTTCCGGCTTTGCTTTTGCTGCCACCTTGGAGCTTTTGGGGCTTCAGCCTGCCCATACTCTCCAGCGAACCCGATACCCCTTATAATTAACGAAGAGACCTTAAGCTATAGGGGCCTTAGTAAGTTTATTATTATCATTCTTGTTATTACTATTTTTAGGGGCCTTAGTATGTTTATTATTATCATTATTGTTATTAGTATGTTTATCTTTATGTATTTAAGGTATATGACATAATTAAGGGGTATTGGGTTCTCTGGGTCTACACTCCCCAGAGAGGGCATTCGCCTTTTTCGGGCTTAGGATTCCAGGTCCAGACTCGGAAATCCCGAACCCTTAGGGTTTAGGGTTTAGGGTTTAGGGTTTAGGGTTCCGAAGTGCGAAACCGCAGCTGCCGGCTGCACCATACTCTGAAGCTTGCGACGAGCGCTCGGAATTCGGAGCGGATGAGGTTCATTCGGGTTTTCAGTCTTACTAGGGGTTGTTAGGGGTAGAAGGGTCAAAAGCTTAATGTCAAACATGGTTCTTCATGCTAACTAGGTACCCTAAACCCTAAACCCTAATTACCCTAAACCCTAACCTCTAAACGTTAATTAGGTACCCTAAACCCTAACCCCTAAACCCTAATTAGGTGACCAATCCGGTCTGATGGCAGGCTTGGATCCAGAACGGTCAATCAGGATTTAGAGCAGAGAGGCCGCGGAATCCTGGGTAGGACACAACCCAGACGAACTCGCCGAGCCGTCGAAAATTCACGGAAATCCCGAAATCCCCGAACCCAACTTCTTCTGGATCCGGGATGCTCCACCAGATCTTCTGCCTCGTTCGCAAGCCTTTGTGGTCATGTGAGAGTTCCTGTGTATTCAGATAGACGTTCGGAGGTTCCTCATGACCGTAACGCTCCTTGCCTGCTTCATGCTTACACGCGGTCGGTGTTTGGGTTGAGGCTTTGGAGGGGTGAGGCTTTGGGGTTTAGGGTCGTTTTTGGTTTTGGGGCTTAGGGGCTTTGGATTTCATGTGCATGCTTTGTATGCAATATTCGGTGCAAGCTTGTCGTTGTGACGGGTTGAAGGGTGTCTGAGGTTTGGGACGGCAGAGAACCTAAAGACTACGCAGGACGGCGAATCTGACTCCAAAGCCTCCTAAACCCCCAGACCCTGAACCTCAAAACCCTAAACCCGAAATCCTTCAACCACAAAACCTAACATTGGCAAAACCCAAGAGCCTTGGCCTTCAAACATTGCCCAGGGGGCATGAGGGTGCTGGAAATGAAGTCCGGCAAAAGCATCTGCGTCTCCTTTCATTTTTTTAGACACTTGTTCGAGCTGGGCAGCATCAGTGGACAGCAGAAGAAAACCCTTCCAGTCCAAATGACTGCTAAAGGCCCTAGAAACTCAAGCAGAGGGGAGTTCTCCGAAACGAGGGTCCTTGCTGGGGGTCTCGGTGCGGTGGGCTCGTCATGATGAAACCCCTAGTCTAGGGGACTGAATAATTTCTGATGCTATTCCTGAGGCTTCCTTACTATATTAATGTACCCCAAAGCCTATCATATAAGATATATCCAGGCGCTCTTTTTGCGTTGTATTGCACATGGCCCGAGCAGACCTACAAGCCTACATTCGCAGTTTCGCAGTGTGGCTCGTGTTTGGCATGGTAAGGTGTGGGCTGCAGGATAGCCACAGCGAGCTTTAGGTAGGATCCCTTGAAACGCAAGTTTTCTCCTCAAGCCTCCTTGGGTTTAGGGTTTAGGGTCTAGGCACCCGAGACTTCCCAAAGCAACCCAAACCCTAAACCATAAACTCTAGACCCTAAATCCTAAACTCATAAACCCCAAATCTTACATCTTCTACAATCTGCACGTCCGCCTGCCTGCGCCTCCTCCTGCCGCAAGGCTGCATCTTCGATCTCCTGACTGGCTTGGTTTACGGTTTAGGGTTTAGAATTTAGGGTTTAACGTTTAAAGTTTATCGCTTACTGTTTGATTTAGAAGGAAAGGGCAAGACTTTGGGGTTTACGGTGTAACGTTTAAGAGCTATACATATCGCTTAGGCTTAGTCTAGCAACCTACTAGTTGTTCTGATGGTTTGCTCTCATCTGACGTTTACCACTACATTTCTGTATTGTTGGTGATTTGTTTGTTACTTACATGTCTCAAACCGTTTTTTGATTTGTGGATGCCACATTGTATTTTACATTCACGGATGTTTTTTAGCAAAACTCCTGAGTTTTTGAGGTCTTGGGCGTCGGGCTTTGGGTCAAGAAGGGAGACCCTTCAACCTACAGAGCATCGAGATTCCGCCCTTTTCCATCAGCTCCATTGTTATTCCGAAACGACATCATTCCATCAGACCATGGCGACGGGATCACCAGCATTTACATCTCAAAGGTTTCAGGATGTTCTTGTTTAAGCTGTCATTTTTTCTAGGCCTGCCTTGCGCCATAAACCCTAAATCCTACGCTACATTGCATCCTGACTGCTTCCTTGAACTATTGACCCGGCTTCCTCGGCCAGGCGTCCATCGTTATGTGCTATTCGCAACTGTGGGTCCCGAAATATTCGCAGCTGTGGGTGCCTGAACCCTAGCAAACCCTAAACTTAAGAGTTGCGCCAATAAACCCTAAACCCTAAACTTAACTAATGTTAGACTGGCGAAGACCCCAGATAGCTTGGGTTGCGTCAGAAAAGTTCATGGTTTCGGAGATAAGTGGTTGTCAAAGGCTTTAACCAGGAAAGTCAACCAGTTGGCTTTTCCTTTTTGTGTTGCCCCCAGGTAGTTTCGCGCGCGCAGCGCTGTTTTAGGCTTGCCGCTTTTGCATTCTTTCGGGCCACTGAGCCGATTGTTTGCCAGAGTCAAGAAATTGCTGTCCCTGACAGTGACAGTCTAACCCTCATCGTGCACCTTGCGTGTCTCTCTTTCGCCGATCAATCGGGACATTTGTGCTGGCAGCAACGTCTTGAAACTTCCAGGCTTCGATTCGTGGGTTTTTTTTTCTGTCTGGACATGCCGGATCAGCTCCAGCCGTGGCTCATTCACTTCCCACGAATCACCTGTGTAAGCATAAGCATTCTTTATGCCCGGTGCCGCAGCAATCAGGGCACCAATCTGCGGAAGATAGTCCAACGAGCTGTCATGCAAACCCGACACGTGCAGCATACCCCAATGCACCAAGGTGTTGCTCCGTTCCCGACAACACATCAGTCAAACAATGTCGCCGCATTTACAACAGCATGCGGCATACCAGTCGGTGTGAGGTAAACCCATGTACCCTGTAGCACAATCGGAAGAAGGCTTCCAGTCGAGTCAATCAAGGCAACAAAATCTCGGGCCCCTTCGGTCCAATAGTCCTGCAACAACAATCGGCAACACTGACCAGTGGAAACGGCATCTCGGTGCACACTTACAACTGTACACTCATGGAATGACCATTGCTACAGTCAAGCTGCACAATACCATTCATATCCAATGTCTTTTCAGACAAACTTCGCAGTGTGGGCACGCGCTCTCACTCAAGTGCAGCGCAGGATATTCCAAACCAAACCGTTCCGGTCAACAGTTTGCGCAAGCTCCACTGTCGAACAGTCTTGTGCATTCCAAGACCGGTCTTCGTTCCAATAACTCCAGTCGCTATCGAACCAAGACCAGTCACAGCACCCATCATCAAGCGAACCTATCCAATCATGACGATTACATGCATGAAGACCAACCTATTCCCGATTCCTACTCTCCTTGGTGAATCTCCTGTTGGTTGTCAGCTCGGTCACTGCCGACATTTGCCTTGAACGCTCGCTACTCCAGAGGCTCTTGTCGCCACTGGGGACATACCTTTTCCATGCTACCCTTTTCCTCCCTTCCTGCCTCTCTTCCCTTTCAATGCTCCAGATGTCCATGTCTGCTGGACCACCGTCATTCCTCATGCTTGGCACAGTCAAATGTCTGCTGTTGAGATAGCTTGACACAATCTGTGCCACGACTTCACTGAAAGAGTTGATGTTGCGAACATTAAGAAAGCGCTGCTGCATTGCACAAACCGTTTTCTGCGTAAACTGTGATCTTCCATTCCACATCCAGCTGCCTTTGGTCAGGAACCTTTGCTCGGCCTTGACGAGCAATACCAGCAGGTCTCGGTCATGCAGTTCTTCGGAAAAACCGAAAGTTGGAAATGACATTCTCAATCTCCGGGAGCTCATTGAGTCAGTCGAGCGCTCATCGCGGTGCTCAAACCGCCACCACCTTGATATTCCTTGGCTAGCTTTCAAGCCGGAATTCAGTCTCCAAACCTCGTGCAACAACTCAATTAAATTTGGTTGATTGTTCTTTGGCAATTTTGGCGGGTCCAGGCAATTTTTTGGACCCGGCGAGTGCACTTCTTGGTGGCGTTGGCTAACCTTCAAGCTGGAGACCAGTCCCCAAACCTAGCGCAAAAAAATAATTAAATTCTGTTGATTGTAACTGGTAATTTGGGTCCAGGAGTGGATTTAGGACCCGGCGCGTGCAGGTCTTGCTGGCGTAGGCTAGCCAACAAGCCGGAAATCAATCTCCAAAGGGCGCCCAACAAATTAAC